AACAACATATAAAGTGACAATTACAGTTCAATTCCACAGGACAAAACACAGTAAGAAATACAACATGTATTTACAAAATGTACATCCCAGAAGAAACATCCTCGAAGCCTGACAAAGCCTTGTGCCATTATACCAAACGCTGTTCTCCTGAAACAGCAAATCTGGAAGAAGGGCCAAAATCCCAAAAATATTGCTCTGGAAAAAATAGTAAAATTAAGTTTTAGTAGAAGATATTTACTGACATGTTTAGAAGGACTTATTTATAGAAATGAGAACACTGCAGAACATGACATCAGTCACACTATGTAATAAAGTCACATATTTGTGTAAAACATAAGTTCTCTGGGATAACAGCAGTGACACACTGAAACACGGCACTCCTGAAGAAAAGGCACAAAGGTAAAACCTGGCGACTATCAGACAGCTCTGTAGCAAGTCACCACGACAAACAGGTTCCACCCTCAGAGGAGACATACTGGCCTCATGCAGTGCTCAGGGGGACCTCTCTTCATGACATACACAAGCACACATACAGCAACCTTCTTGAGTCGGACTGTCAAAAAAGCATAAAGCAAGTGGGAACTGTCTCCAGGTCTTCACACCATCTGCACCCCCAACAGTGGAAGGGTGTGAAGACAGCGGCCTGTCGTGTGAACTGGAAACATGATGCTGAGTGTTGTAATGAGGGCAGTGGGCAGTGACCTGAGGGTGAGCCATGAGACCTAGCTGACACACATGAACAGTAGCTCTAATCTGAGTCTCACACAATGGGAAGTGTGCTTTCCTTCAGGGCCTGGCCCTCTTCCAAAGCACACACTCTCACACATTTTTCAACCAGTGAGATTGGGATCCCAACCCAATACTCTTTTCATATGCACAGGAACTTCTGGGAACAAGCTCATAGAAACCAGGTCTCCAGATGCCTGTTTTGTCTAACATGATGCAACCACAACGGTCCCTTCCTCAGAGGGGGCTTTCTACTCCTGCTACACAGCCTTTTCCAGTGGGAACTGAGGGCTGCGGTAGCATTCAGGATTTCTGTATTCAAGATTTCAGCACATACAACTATAATCTGCACTGGCCTCCTGACTGCAGATGCATGCTCTAGAGCCACGCTGCACACCACTGTCTTGTGCTACTCGCTTGCAAGTCACTGTGATTCTTCCATGAGAAAATGGAAATGAAAACACAGTAGCAGCCAGGCAAGGCACATGTATGTAATCCCAGCACTCAGGAGGCAGAGGCAGGGGGATTGCCCATTTGAGGCCAGCCTCCTCGACAAATCAACACTCTGTTCCAAAAAGAAAACAATCCATTGGCTAGACACATAGCTCGGTGGAAGAGTGGTCACCTAGCATACACCCACAGCACCATCAAAACCAAAGAACAGGGCCAACAAGATGTCTCAACTAAGGTACTTGTCACCAAGCCTGACAACCTGATTGGAATCCCAGGGACCCATGTGCTTGTCCTGATTTCCATGCATGTGAGCATCACACACACACACAGACACACACAAGAGTAACTTTCAGAAGGCAGGCGTTAACCAGGTAAGTCATAGTCTCTGTTTGGATAAAGCCCTTGTCTTCACGTCTGACAATGCAGCACTGAAAAGCATCACTGTGCCCTTTGTTGCCACCACCATTCTCATTGTCACTGTGAGCCTTCCTTGTGTATAAAATACGGATGTGTATAAAAAATGGATGATGGAAATGATAAAAGCCAAAAATATTAAGTGACTTGTCCAAGTAGCAGTGAGCTGAACCCCAAGTGCCCTGACACCCTGCTCATTCTCTAGGACTCTCAAAGCAGCTTTAGTCAGGCCACTCTGTGGTCTTCTTACATTCACAAGGGAATGCTGTCCACTCTGCGTGGGGCCACAGAGGCCTTTAGACAGGCCTTCGGCACCCCTACTTCCTGTCCACATACATCAAGAGACTTGGGCATGAGCTAGAAATGGGGAGAGTTTATGTCTTTACAAGACTATCTATCCTGGGGCTGGAGAGATGGCTCAGAGGTTAAGAGTCCTGGCTGCTCTTCCAGAGGACCTGAGTTCAATTCCCAGCATCCACATGGTGGCTCACAACCATCTGTAATGAGATCTGGTGCCCCCTTCTGGCCTGCAGGGATACACACAGACAGAACATTGCATATATAATAAATAAATAAATCTTTAAAAAAAAAAGACTATCTATCCTATGTTTACCACTATTGATTAGAACAGATAGCAATGAAATTTCAGGGAGAATAAAATTTAGGATACCTATACCAAAAAGGAAGCATCATCAAATTAACATAATAACTATTTCCCAAAATCACAATCACTGGAACCCGGATGAGTTGACACTGTTTGAACATCTCATCTCTCACCACAACATAGTGACCTCAATGGATCGTTTCTACAGAAACTCCAAACCAAAAGAGAACCAAGAGCAGCACCTTCCAATGTTCACAAAATGAACACATTTAACTACCCACCCATGCAGGCTTTTGCCTCCCAGGGCAGTCATCTTCAGCACACAGCTGTTCCAGAGGAGACAGCTCAACCAATCTGACCTCTGCTTATCACAAAAAACTAAAACCCATAAGATGAGGCAATGCAATTCGTGATAATTCAGTCAGCAACAGGCTGCACATTAAGAGAGTTGCTCACAGTCTCCATCACCTAACATTGTCACAACACAACACATTACTGCTGTGAGCAATGGTGCTGGTCTGTGTAAGCATGCCACACACAACTACACACTACTGTGATAGTAAACTGTTACTGGGTTATGAATTTACCACACTAGACTGTGATCAACTCTTACAGAAGATAAAGACATAATGTAAAACTACCTATCATGTCAGTGGGCAGCTGCACTGCCCATTTCGTGTACACAAAGTCTCTTGATTACATCATTTTCTCTTGGTCTAGATCTATCCCATGTTGTTCTGTATTTGGTGTGTAAGCACAGCACAATAGTGTGTAAGCACTCTCTATGATGCCATGACAAAATCACCTAACCACACAATTCTCAGAATGTCCTCATGATGTCCTCATGCCACTAAGTAACAGGCTGCATTTAAGTTTAAACTTAAACACAAAACGTTTCATTTCAAAACATATTCTAGTGTGAAAATCAGTATGAAATTTCAGACAAGGTCTGGGAATATTGAGACACTTTCACATTCAACATCTGAGTAAGGCAGAGGTTCAGAAAAGAATCCTGTCACCAACAGACTAATATGAAGGATGCCTGGGAGCCCCAGTTTGTGAAGAGCCCCCAAGGGTCCCCAAAGTGACAGGTCCTTAGCAGTGAGCTCTTGATCCCTTTCTCTTTTTCAAAGAGTTTGTTCTTGGCCCAAGATCATGAGAAAAGCTAGTCCTGACTTTTCCAAGTATGCATTACCTTAAAACAAAGTCAGTATTCAGTCTTAGTATCTACTCAGCAAGCAGGAAGAGAAGTAAGCAAAGATGGAAGCCAGTGAGCTTCAGAGATATGCAGCAGGGCCCTGCGTGCAGCCATGCATCCTCTGGTCCCACATTTAATTAGCATCCCCTCGACAGTGATCCTCATGGACTCTAATTGTTCTCCCTGCCTCTCTTGGGTGCCGTTCTCAAAGGACTCTTGATCATTTCATCTCAGAATTCTGGTTTTATAAAGAGAAGCCTTAAGATACTCTCTTCCCAGGAAACCCTTCTTCTCTTCGCTCATTTTCACCAAGCAATCATTTAAAATAAAAAATGTAATTCTTTTCTAATATGGCACAGAGATAAAGGAGAAATGGTGGCTTTTAACAGAGCTGTACCCTGACCCATGGAGGCAGCCATTACTGTAATCAGAGCAGTCAGGCTACTGGGCCAGTGGGTTATCATGGACTACCCTGCCTCAGCAAGCTACAGATAAAAAAACTAAGCCAGGGAATCTCAAGCAGGATAGCCCTGGGATGTCTCTCTATGCTCCTCTGAAGAGCTGCATGCTCAACCACAGGAGACATACATGCAACTTCCCTTCCTGGCACTGCAAGAATCCATGTGTCGTGGATAGGACAGCAGTTGCTCTGAAAAACTGTCTCACAGCCTCCAACCTAGAGTGGACAGTGGCCCCCACCTCATGAGAAGATCTAGCATTCAAACCAGAGCAACAACTGGCATTGTTGCCAGCCACATCTGTCTGCCACACTGGACCACATGCTCAGGAGCCCTGTACTGGGACTGTGTATCCTCCTTTCTCTTACCTGGACACTTCAGCTCCACCCTCCTCACAGACCTGTCACAAGGCTCACACCCATGAAAACACTTTCCTGATTGTACGGACAGCCAGGTAGCACTCCACCCTCACCCTCACATGATCCCAAACCCATGACACAGACTCAGCTCACCATCTCCTCCACAATTATGTTCCGTTTATCCTACCTAACAAGGCAGGGGTGCTAGGGGTGTGAGCCAAGAACTGAAGAACTGGGTGCAGTCCTGGGACAGCAGCCCAGGCTTCAGGCTGTCACCCCTTCTGACACACCAAGTCAAATCTCATAATATCTGTTCTTCCTCTGGAAAATAGGAGTTATGGTACAGGTCACATGGCTACCCCTGTGTGAAGAGCAGGGCAGTGTGTACAGTGCTACACTGGATGCCTGGTGCTGGGATAGAGGTGCTCCTCTCCTGGTGCTGGTTTGTGCACAGTGTTCAGAAGGATGACCTTAAGTTCTCACTAGATTTGGAGAGCGGGCATAAATGCAAAAATCAAGTTGATAGCACCAATGTTAAAATAATGCCAGGACTGAGCAAAAACTTCCTAATACAACAGACTGCTCCGGTCACCACCAGGGTTATCAAACACCCCATGCAGACAGGCTTCCTGTGATCTAAACAGCTGCAAAGATTCACGATGCTCCTTCCCATCATACAAAGGCCCACCCCAGAGCTGTGCTGATACATAAAATGGTATGGTTGTCTAGCCCTTCTGGCTTGGACCAGTCTTATAACTGGTTGCTGCCTTTGAGAACATGGTCACTACCAGATGAAAACGGGACAGAGCAGGTGCCTCAGATCAACGATGGAATCATCGCAGCTGTTCTTGAGACCAACTCCAGCTTCAGCTTCAGCTTCTTGAAACAGAGACAAAATGGGACATCATTTCAGGAACATTCTGCTGACTGTGTGTGTTTAAAAGGTTCATCTTCAGAACAGTGAACTCAGGCAGGTCCAACATCACAGGTGCCTTCCTGGGGTTTCAGCCCTGAGCAGGTAGCACTTCATGGACCCTCCTGCTACATGCCCCAGGTCGAATCACCCACAGTGCACCAGTGTACTCACTGCTGGTTGGTTCACTCACATTCTGAGTGCTGACCACACCACACCACACCAGACACGGCCTGTTATATTTTTGAGTGTGAAATGTCTCTAAGAGGATTCTGTGTCTGACCAGTTAGTCTCTAGCTGGTATCTCTATTTTGCGAGGCTGTGGAATCTACCGATGTGAGCCCTAGCTGTTAGACCTAGGGTCACAGGGCGGGCTTGGAGAGTTACAGTGAGGCTCTGCTTCTGGCCCAGGACCCACTTCCAGCAAAAGCTCACCACTGTGTGGTGTATCACAGTGTGAGCAAGAGGACATATGCTCCTGCCGCCATACCTTCGGCTCCATGATGGACTAAGCCCTCTCACACCACAAATTAAAATAAATCTTATCTTCCTTAAATTTCTTTTAGATATCTTGTCACAATGGCAAGAAAGGTAATGAATACACTGTTACTAGCAACAAAAGCCAGCTCATCTTATGATTCCATAGATGAGAATCACCTCCATCAGCACACCCTTGTCTCTGGTAGATGAGTCTGCTCCACCAGAAGACCTTGTGGGTTCAAAGCCCTGGACACCTGGTCACATGTGGTCCTCAGAGCACCCAGACACTGGGGCAGATTCTGTCAGCCAGCTGTTACTATGCCTGCTCCAGGAGGCCAAACGGGATTGTCCCACTAGCGAGGCCCACAGAGGCAGGCCCTGAGGGAGGAGCACTCTTATGACGACTCTGGCACCCTGATATGCAAGGGAACTGGAACTCCCAGACCTGGGGAGGCCCAAGGAAGTATAGTCTCATAGCAAATCTTCCTGTTCACACCTGTGAGGCCCCCACCCTCCCCCATCCTATCCAGAACAGAGCAGCTGTTCCCGTTCTCTGGAGCTCACCAACAGAAAGGAAGAACATGGCGTCCAACAGGGCTGTGTCCTTTACAAACTGTTAAGTGTTTGCATAGCAGATCTGAGGGGTCCTCAGTAGTCTGGAGTTTTATTCATGAGACTCCTGTGAATTCCGCACTCTGCTTGCTAACATATCCAAATTCATTTTACACTATAAATAATCCTTTCATTGCTTAAAATCAATACAGTTGACACTAGAGAAAGAATACCACATCTACCCTGTGGATCTGGCTCCCACTCTGCAGCTCCCCCGAGTCCTGTACCTACATTTTAGAAGTTCCTGCTACCATCACAGAAAGCTACATGAGTAAGGTGTGCACATGGTGACCTAGAGGGTGGGGGTACACCCCACTCCAGGTGCTGGCCAGTCACCCACCATATTCTAAGCATCCCAAGTCCTACTGGTCTCCTAGCCCTGAGGACCCATCTGTGAATCCCTGTGGTTTAGGAGGCAGGAACTAAATTCTCTACAGACCCTGTGCCCACCCCATGATACACAGATGCCAGGAGTCAATCCAAGTCTGAGACATGTCTTCTAGGCAAGGCCTGAGACTCAGAGCACATTTTGAGAAAGGTCACAAGAAAAGGTTTCAGGAATGACGTGTGGCCATTCAGAGCAGCAGTAAAGATGGGTTCACCAGAACACGTGATGGAAGGGACCCTGTGATGGGTCACAGGCAAGGTCACAGAGCCAGGCCAATGGTGCTCTCTACTGCTACATGAGTAACAGCAAGGATGATGTCAGTCAAGGTAGAACACGAACGAACACACACACAGTACATGTGTCAAAAGAACACACACATACTACCCACCACACACACAGGGACAGTATGAACACACACAATACACTCTAATTCCTAAAAATAAAAATGCTATTAAAGCAAGATAGTTGGGGCTGGAGAGATGGCTCAGCAGTTAAGAACACATGCTACTCTTTCAGAAGACTGGAGTTCGATTCCCAGCACCTACCTTGGTAGTTCATAATTGCATGTAACTTCAGCTCCAGAGGATCCAATGTCCTCTTCTAATCTCTGAGGACACCCACACACATGTAGCAGATATTCACAGACACACACATGAACACATAAAGATAAAATAAATCTTGAATAAATCCATCAGAGTTCCACCATTCTCAGACTTCCAGTAACTGGAGAGTCTGCACACCCCAATTAAGATACAACCTGAGCACTGTTGTTTACAGTACTGACCACACCATGATGCCCACAGAAGAGCACACATCTCTAAGTGAGTTCCACGTCTAAATCTCTTCTTAGAAGCCCTCTTCCCATGGTTCTCTCTCCCATCCTCTCAGTAAGATCCACTAAGAATTTAACACACATATGAAAGGGGGGTACCACCACTGGCCTGAGGACACAAATTGAAAGAAAATGGTCCCCCAAAGCCTGCTGGTCTCCACCCATCAGTCTACTTCCCATATCTGTGGGCAGTACCCAGTGGGCTGTGCACTCTGAGACACATCTTGAATGCCTCAGGCCTTGACTGAATGGTGCTACCCCTCCCACAAGGGGTGGGCTTCTCTACAAACACACACTAACAAATGATCAATAACAAAAAGTCTACAACCAGCCAAGGAAAGACTGCTGGGGAAGGAAAACTCTGCTCCTCATAGGAAGATCTGCATAAAGGGGACACCTTGAGCAACACATTCTAATCCCAGTATGTAGTGGTTTCAATTGAATTCCTATTTAATTTACAGAAGCATGGAAACCTAGTAGTTCATGGGCAATCTGCATGCAAAAAAGAAAAAAAAAGGCACAAGTATTCACTTGCAAAATAAGGTAGTTCTCTCTTCTCCCTATCTGTATTCAGGCACATGTGGCAGAGCTGTGCTCTATAAAGCAAAGACTTTCTGGAGGCATCAGGAGAGAAGTGTTGGGTACTTGGCCCCACGATGGGGACTGTCACCACAGATCATTCGAGTAGATTAGGCACAACACAAAGCATGGCTTCAGAGAGCAAAGAGCTAAGGAGCTCTAGTCAACCCGCTCCTGCTGCACTGAGAAGAAAGAGCTCAGCCTTCTGGAAACCAGGGCTTCCTGAAGACCGAATCTGCAAACAGGGTTCCTGGGATTCTGACTTGAATACTGTCAAATTGCCTCCTTCCTCGAGAGGGTAACAGACAGGAAAATCCTGAATGGTGGGCCAGGCTGCCTTCAACATCTAGTGGGGAAAAGGTCCTGACTTGAAAAGATTCAGGGTAACTGGAAGGAACTGATGCACATGGCAGCCACGAAAAAAGCCAGGACGAAGGCTTCCTCTCCTACCACTCTGTCGCTGCCACGGCTGCTGCTGACCACTGCCAGGTGAGCAGCTCCGGTCACTTCAGCCCCATACAGCCTGAGGAGCTGGCAAGACGCAAGTGCAAAGCCAAGAAAACCTGATATTCAGACCCACAAGCCCTAGAAACTTAATTCTACCCACAACCAGGGATCACAGCAAGACTCCAAATCCAGTCCCACCTAACACTTGGTATGAGACTCAGCAGAATATCCGCTAAGCCATCGGTATATACCTCTGGACCCTAGGGTCAGAATGCATGAAACTGTGCAGTGGGTACTGTGGTAGCAAACCCCTACAGTGGGCAGCTGCTCCAGATCCCAGCAGTGGGAAGAGGTTGGAGACTTGAGAAAGAAAATTAAAAAGAAATGGAGGTTCATGTGTTCCCCCTTGAGCCTTCCTTGTTACTTAGCTTCTTTGGGTCTGTGGATTGTAGCACGGTTGTCCTTTTCTTTACAGTGAATCTCACTGTGAAGAGGAATCAGAACAGACATCACAGGTGGACACGGGGAAAGGTCTGGATGGGGAGGTGGGTACAAGGAAAAATGAGGGATCAGGTTGGGGAAGGATGGAGGGAGAGAGTACTGGGAAAGACAACTAGAATCAGGAGCATCTCTGGGATGAGCTAGAAACCTAGCACAAAGGAAACTCCCAGGAATCTATCTAATAGCTAAGACTCTGGGCAATGGGGGATACAGAGCCTGAACCAGTCATCTCCTGTGGAAAGACTGGGACCCCAAACCAGGCACATAAACTCTGACCTACAATTTGCCCTGCCTACAAGATATTCTGAAACAAAAATGGCACAAAAATTATGGGAATAGCCAACCAATGACTGGTTCAGCTTGAGACCCATACTATGAGAGGGAGCCCACCCCAACACTGTCTGGAGGGCCAGGACCCAGAGGCTGGACACCCCAGAGACCTAGGATAGAACTAAACACAACTGACAAAAAAGAAGAAAAAGGCAGTGAAATGATTCCTAATGACATTCTGCTATACTCAGAGGTCATGCCTAGCCCAGTTATTATTAGAGAGGCTTCACCCAGCAACTGATGGAAACAGATGCAGAGATCAACAGTCAAACATTAGTTGGCCCTCAGGGAACCTGTGAAAGAGGGGAAAGAAAGATTATGGGAGCCAAAGGGGCCAAGAACACCACAAGAAAACACACACAATCAACTAACCTGGGCTCACAGGAGCTCACAGAGACCGAACTGAACATAGGGCCAACCAAAGAACTTGTGTGGGACTGACCTAGGCCCTCTGCACATGTGTTACAGCTGTGTAGCTTGGTCTCTTTGTGGACTCCTAACAGAGGGAGCAGGGGCTGTCTTTGACTCTGTTACCTGCTTTAAGGACCCTTTCTTCCTACTGGGATGCCTCGTACAGCCTTAATGGGAGAGAAGGTACCTATCTAGTCTTACTACATCTTGATATGCCATGGCTGACGGATATACATGGGAGACCAGCACTTTTCTGAAGAGAAAAGGGAAGAAGTGGATGGAGGAAAGAGGAGAGGACAGGGGAAGAGATTGTAAGGAGGGGAGGGAGGGAGGAGAAACTGTAATCAGGCTAGGAAAGAAATTAATTAAAAAATGGATATAAAAAAAATGGTAAACATTCAACAAGCAGCAAGGCCCAGCAGGAAGTGAGGAGCTCACATGCAGGCAGAAGAAACTGCAAGGCTGCCTACTCCTTGCCTGCAGTGTGAAGCTGGCCCCTCCAAGAGGGAAGTCAACAGAGGAGACCGGTAGAAACGCAAGAGGAGAGATGCAAATTGAGGAAAAGCTGTTTAGAGGGGCGAACAACAATGATGACTGGAAAGTTCAGCTGTACACACCAAAATGTAAACAGGTTAACCTCAGGACATCATCCCAGGGAGGATGGTATGGCCAGAAGGACAGCGAGTTTATGGAGGACAGGAGTCTATGGAGGACACACAGAGTCTATGGAGGACACAGAGTCTATGGAGGACACACAGAGTCTATGGAGGACACACAGAGTCTATGGAGGACACAGAGTCTATGGAGGACACACAGAGTCTATGGAGGACACAGAGAGTCTATGGAGGACACACAGAGTCTATGGAGGACACAGAGTCTATGGAGGACACAGAGTCTATGGAGGACACACAGAGTCTATGGAGGACACAGAGTCTATGGAGGACACAGAGTCTATGGAGGACACAGAGTCCAT